ACTTCGTTCAGAATCTAAAAGTCTGTGTTATTTTTACTACAGTAAATTATAAACATGAAATCTTATAAATAACAATTATATTAAAACTGAATAATAATAATAATATCCAAAACAAAAAAAAAATTTCCATATTTTTTATATTTTATAACTCTTACATCAAAACTTACAGCACACTATTGGAAGTGATGAACGAAAATTTGCTTTCTATGTCACACGTGTGTATGTCGAAGACACATAGGTATGCGGATTCAACGTATACTTAAATATTTTGAACAATAATAATATATAGGTACAAATTGTATTACCTATGTACCTACTAAGTAATTTAATTAATCTACATTAATTAGTGCTTGATAGGTACGCAATTCGTATGTTCTTCATAATAATATTATACTTAGTTATAACTTTATACGTTATAACGTTTAATATTTATTATAAAAATTATATTTTCATAATAAGACTCGTATTATGAAATAAGACTCCCATTAAATTTTTGACAATGCAAAAAATACAAAGTGATCTTAAATTTGTAAAAAAAATAATTATTTTAGCATACAATAGTTACTAATAAATAACTTTAATAGCAATATAAAATCAATAAATCATATATATCTTTAGTATTTAGTCGTGTATGCTAACAGACAGTCACCGTTCAGATTTATATTTTTTATACAATGATTTACCAATATATGCTATTATAGCGACTTACTTAGTGATGATAATATATATTTGACGCCTACAGCTGTACAGTATAGACTATAGAGTATTAGAATATGCTTTTTTTAAATACTGTTTATGCCTTGAAGGTTAATTTTTCTTTTATATTTATATCTAACTTTTTCTATAAACATTTTTCAAATAATTTACTATTTCACAAATTTTTTTTATAGTCTAAATCTATGGGTAGATTAATACTTTATAAGCACCTGTTTAAATTATTTTTACACTAAACATTGACACAATATGATTTTTATTTTTAATAAAGCCTTCATTATTATATACAGTGAAACCTCCCTTAACGGACACCTCTAAATAGCGGACGTTTTTTCGGGGRCGGGAACATTTTYACTATTTATGTATAGGAAAACCTCTAAATACAGGACACTCTAAATAACGGACACTTTTATGACGTTGATATTAGTTATTTTTATCTTAAATTAAGAATTATTTTGGAATATCTGAATAAAAACCTGAATTATTAAGTTATCTTGTGTGTACATTATTATACTATATATTAAAATCTTATCTTATCCGTTCAGTCATTGAAATATTATCGCGTCAACGAAGTATTATAACTAATGCATTGTCCTATGTGCGTTTAGTTGTGTTTGTGATGCCAACGTTATTTAATTTAGAAAATGCCTTAGCATACGAAATAACTACGCCTGCAATTAGTAAACAAACTAAAGTAACAGATATTTTTCAGAAATGTTAGTTTTTATTTTTTTAAGATGTATTTAATTAATGTAAAAATAAAATAAAAATTTAGGTAACTGTTTTTTTTTTCATAAATGTTAGTTTTATCGTGTATTCAATTAATGTAAAAATAATATAAAATAAAATTATTGAATTTATTTATTTGTTAAAAAAAAATGTTTTCCTCTAAATAGCGGACAAAATTTCGGCGACCGAGAGTGTCCGCTATTCAGAGGTTTCACTGTATTTCTTA